TCATAGTATTTGTCTCCAGCCAAAGTTCTGTAAGATGTGAACTTCTCTTTGGCATTTTTTCATTTTACGTAATCAGTGCAGCTGGAAAAAAAATGCCCTAACAAAGCCAGAGAAACACAAAGGAACCCCCTGAAGCAGGGTTTGGGGCCAGATAATTCTCTGCTATGGGGCGCTGTCCTGTGCCTGCAGGATGTTTAACAGCATCCATGACCTCCACCCACCGGATGCCAGCAGCCGCCCCCGAGTACTGACAGTGAAAAATGTGTCCAGCCGTCGCCCAGTGTCCCCTTGGGGGCAAAACCACCCCTCGGGGAGAACCGCTGCCTTCCACGTGACTTAACAGTGCTCACTTCCGGAAATTGCTCCAGTAAAGGGGTTTGGAAGACAGTACAGGAACTTCTTGACGTAAAGTACCAAAGAATAAATAGTTTTAGGCTTTGAGAGCCACATGCCATCTCTGCCTCATATTCTTTGTTTTTGTTTTGTTACAATATTTTAAAAATACAAACACACCTTCTGAGCTCAAAAGTCGGCTGGAATTGGCCCACCCTTAGACTGCAGAGAGAGGAACGATGGCTCTTCCTGAAGTGGCTACAAGTGCTGGGACAGTATTTGGAAACAACTGGCATCTGGATCCAGCTACGAGGTCTTCATGACCCTGAGCCAGCAGTTCGGCTGCCCTTCTTGGAAAGCCTGAATTAATGAACTCCAAGTTAAACGCTGCTACTCTTGTTTTGCAACTTAGTTCTATTTAATGTATTTAAGCATAAAAAGTTTTTTTTTTTTAAAAAATTGAAAGTCAGTATTTATTTGAACAAAATGAGATTCCCCCTAAGTGGAAGAATGTCTGCATAGTGAGGATGTGTCTTCCCATTGGTTTGGAATAAAATATCCTAGGGGGTTCCTTCAAAGAAGAAGAAGAAGTTGTACAAAGGAAATGCCCCTACACAATTTGAAAACTGAAATATGTTTTAATAGGACTACAGAGGTTATCAAGGAAGGAAGAACGGTATCATGGAAAAAGAGAAGCCTAGAAACTGCAAAAATGAAAACATGTCATTTTGAAAATACATTTCAAGGTAGTTTCTATGGAGTTTTCTTTACCCGTCACATAAATGTCTGAATAAACTAGGGCAGGTCCATGTGACAAGTAGTTAGTGAGGGTTTAGTGAGGGTTTAGAATGTGCCAGCGACTGTGTGAGGCACTGGGGTCGACTCCATGTGGACAGTGAACACTGCTCAAGTAGGAAATAGCTTCACCCAATCATCCAGAGATTTTTCCAGTAAAACATTTTATCTTTCTCTCTTTGTGTATTGCTAATTCCACACATCTTATGCTTTACTTTGGGCATTTAGAGTTTCTCTCTGGGGATTTTCACGGACACCAGACAGAATCAGTCAAGAAAATGTCCTCACCATCCAGTTACCACTGTCAAGACAACACTGTGAGACGAGAATGAGACTTTAGTCAAATATACTTCATTTGGATTTAAAAAATGTACATTTTAAGTCATTCGAGTAGTTTATCGTATGGGAGGCAGTAAATTAGAGTGAAGAGTACTGGACTGGAGGTCAAAACCCTGTCCCGTCCTGTCCTGTTTTCTGTCCTCGTCTTCTTGCCATGGACAAGTCAGTGAATTTGTAAGGAGCAGATTTCTCCTCTGTAAAATGGGATCACAGCACTTTTACCCTGAGGCGTTTGCTGTGTTTAAACGTACTGTATGTGGTATAAAGGTGATATCATTCTTGTAAGGACTGGGCTAAACTGGTTCTTCATTCTACATGGATGATTCTGGGATAAATCAGGTAGTGTCTTGGTCACAGCCCAGATCAATTACCAACAAGACCTCCTTACACTTCATTTTCGGTGATCAAGAAGAAACAGATTTATAAAAGCTCAGAGGGGCTACTCTGAAATTTGCTCCAAGATGAACATCATGGATTTTCTGTTAAAATATAATAATGAGCTAAATTTAATCTTCTAGTGAAACGAAGACTTTTAAAGATGTCCAGAAATTAATGGTTGATCCTTTATCAGCACCATCAGGTCCCACCCCCTTCACCCCAAATTACCTCTTTGCCCCGCAGACCTCAGAGGAAACCATTGCTAGGGACAGTCACCCCTCTCACAGTTTGCGGTGGAAATCTACACTGTACACTCTGAGTATGGTAACCATGTCACCTGCACAAATTTGAGAAAGCTTCTCCGAATGAGACCAGTGTAGATTTTTTTTCTTGGTGTTACTCTCAATTGTATTTTAAAAAAATCAACCTGGGTTTGTATTTTTTGTTGTCATCCCTTCCCAGTCTATTTTTGCTCAGAAAATAACTGGACTAATATCCCAAGAAGGATCTCCTTCGTAAAATGGGTACAACCGCAGAGCACCATGAGGAGTAATGACATAGCCCTGCAAGGTTCTTCCTCTGGTTTCGTAACGGGGCCTGAGAAAGCCTTCATAAAACCCTGCTTATGTTTTGTCCACTTCGTTTCAAATGTGATGCCATCAAATAGGCAGGAGCTGGATGGTGCTGTGTGCAATGTTAGCTGTCAGGGCTATCCTTGATTCCAGCAGCAAAGTATCAGAACAACACTAGTACGGGCAGAAACAGTGACTCTTTGACTCCTGACACCTTTTGTAAAGGACACATCTTCATCTCATGGGAAGAAAGACAAATTATGATAAGTGCTCCTTTCCCTACTTCACATTACCATGACTACTGGAGGTCCATTTTTCTGTCCCCCAGCTCAGAACTGTCCGGATATAAGAGTTAGATGTAGAAAGAAAAAAATGGATATATAAAATTGAGGCAATTCCCTCAGTTTCCTAGGTCTGAGTTTTTATAAATTGTATGAATTCATTTGACCAGAGAGCCATCAGCTTGAAATGGCTTCTGACCACTATTTGACTTGGTTTTGATTTTCCCCAGATACCTAGCACATGAAAAACCATCTTGAATCTGAAAACAATTTACTGACAAGACAGCTGTCCTTTAAAGTTGCCCTTTAGCCATGGAGGCAAAGACAGCCTCCCTTTCTCTCCAGTCCCAACTTTCTCTGATAATACGGTTTTGTGTCCTGAACAGATCAAAATCAAATAGGAGAGAAACAATCCTGTTGAAAAGAGATCTGATGTGCCTGTTGATGTCTCATTAACCTTGAGAGTGAATGTAACTGGTGAGTGCCCGTCACAGTGGCGTGACGGTTTGTTAGGGGGGGGGAAAAGCCAGTAGAAACATCACCTTGGGAAAAAAAAAAAATACAAAGAGAAACATCATTTAGTAGATCATCTATCAAAACGTGGGGCAGCTTTCCAGCTGTCAGGACTGGCTAAATTATAGTTTCCTTAAGCCTGTGATGAAACTACTATGTGTTTTCTTGGGGAAATTTGGGGCCGTATTTTTCTGTGTGTCAGAATATGTTCACTGGAGTATTGACACACACACACACAAAAACAACAAAAAAACCCCTCACTTCGATGTTGGAAGCATAATCATGAGAAAAGCAATATTTCCAGACCACTGTTACTAAGGTTCTGTGATGATGTGTGTGCCATTTAAAATATCACAAGCCACTCAACGTGGGAAGGTCCTAATTCCACTGAGTCCCTAGTCAGGTTCCCCTCATTACTAATTGCCCATAGGTAACACATCAACAGAGAGAGGGAGGGAAATAACATAGGAAAATTAGCTGGTCTCCAGGGATATATAGAGGATTACCTGTAGAGGGAAAGAGGAGAGAGTTCCCCAGGTTCATTGGCTGACCCCCCGTGGCATAAGTGGACTAGAAATCTAACCGACCTCTAATCCCAGATCTGGACCGGAGACCCTCACAAAACCAGCCCCTTTTATGCCTCTGCCCCAGGGCTCCAGCTGGGACTGGTTGTACCCTGCCCTCCGCAGAGGGGCACCTCAAGTAAACAAGCCCCACAATTCCCACCAGGGACTTGGATGGAACATTTTCACCTAATTTTGCTTTTCTCTCTGAAGGTCTCCACTTTTCCATCTCTAGTCCTCACTCCTCTGCTTTTCTTAGGAACTTCCTGAAAGTTATCACCATTAACCTCACTTTCCACATCAAATTTCCACCTCGGCTGACGGCACAACCTGTTTCCACGAGCGTCCCCCTCTAACCAGCTGCTTGGTTTCCTGTGCTCTTCTTAGGGCCACACAGCCGGGCTTCTGTCCTCACCCTTCTGGCTCTGCCCCTCACCCTCACGCCCAAATGCACCCAAACAAAAGTGGATTAGTCGAATCCCTGTTTTCCCAAAGAAGTTTTTGCATTTCGGAAGAGGGGAGCTACTTGTGCAAGACAAAATAACTGCGAACGACAGACACCATTTCCTACCCTGAAAGACAGAGATGGCCACCTCGGTCTGGGAAGAGGGCAGCAGGGCAGCCCCGCGTCCTCGCCAGGGACCACACTTCTTTCTGGGGGGGTAGGAGACATTTTCCTCACCATCCCGCCTCACATTCCTTTGCCCCCTCACGGCCCCAGCCCCTCCGAGCAGCCTTTCTGAAATCACTCCAAAGGTCAGAGGAAGGGGGTAAAGAATGGGGACAGGGAAGAGGGGTCTCTGAATCATTCCCCCCTCCCAAGTGTAATATTTTGTTTTCAAGTACCAGGACTTTCTACAATGTCTTCTCTTGTTCTGCTCCTTCTTGGCCCAGTTACCCCCAAGCCTCCCCACCCCCAAGACCACTGCGACCAAAACAAGCGCACGGACCACAGCACCGTGGCTGCCGCCGCCCCAACTGTTGCAGCAGCTGCCGGGGTGGCGGCGACAGCGGCGAGGGCAGGGCCGGGCCCGGACCCGGACGCTCCCCGCCCAGGAGGCTAGGAGGCTCCGGGCGGCCTCCGAGGCGCGCGCGGTGCAGGGGAGCCCCTGCGGCAGCCGCCTGGGATGGGAGAGGCGGCGCTCTCAGCCCGGACCCCCGCGCAGAGCCAGCCCAGCCGCGGCAGCGGCGCCGGCGGAGGCTGCCCGCGCCAGCCCCCCTCTCACCTTTAAGATCAGGTCGGTGTGATGCTGGTCCAGCATGTTGGCTTTCTGGAAGGAGGTGACGATGACCCGACCGTAGCGCCCGGGGGTCTGCAGGTCCGAGTAGAGTCGGTGCTTGGAGCGGTTGACCGGGAAGAGGCTGTTGACGAGGTTGCGCTCGATCTTGGCGAGGCTGTGCTGGGGCGCCAGCAGGTGCTCCACGCTCTCCTCGACCTGGTAGCGGCTGAAGCTGGCGCCGAGCAGGATGGAGATGAGCACGGGCGCCGAGGCGAAGAAGACCGGGTGACTGGCAATGAAGTGGCCGAGCCGGGAGAAACACGTCCTCAAGCCCCTGTGCAGAACCTGCCGCAGCATCCTAGAGCAGAGCGGGCGCGGGAGGAGGGCGAGGCGCACGCTCGGCGCGGGCTCGGGCGGCGGC